CCCCCCCCCCCCCCCCTTCTTACTGATTCTTTTTTAAATTATATGGGGAAAATAGTTGAGGTGTTTTTATTGTATGAACTAAATGCTGCATTTATTTGTCAAATATTAATATTGGTTATGGTGGTTTTCTTTTTTTTTCTTTTTAACTATTGTTTACTTGGAAATGAAGAACCTCTTTCAAATTTGCTTCCAAATTTGTTCTGCTGGATCCACACATTATAGGAATCATTGTTAGGTGAAGGAGGATTTTAAACTAACTTCAACTGAAATTAGTTGGTTTGGTTTGATCCTCAAAGATGTACAGTATTTGGTATCCTTGAGGGTTGTCTGTCTGAGTTCAGGACTTAAATATTAATAGGACTGAGTTATGCTTTTCCCCTTTCAATAAAAGCTTGAGGACCTCAGAAAGGAGAGCTTGCATTGAAGCTGCTCCTGCTCTTACGTGCCTGTTCTGTAGAGAGAAGACTTCAGTTTCATGGCTGTCAGTCCTGTGTATTAATGAGCATCAGTGGTATATCCACATTTATAAATCCTTTGTTCAATAAAAGGGGTACAGTTCAGAGGACATGTGCTTGTCAGTCCCAGTAATTGGCTGGGAGGTGTGTGTATGTGTGCAAGCCAGTTGCACCCCATTGGACTGTCAGCCTTTCAAGTTGCTAGGTGGTCCTTTCCTTACAGAAGATTTAACTCTTGAAGAGAACCTTATTTTGCTAGAAACCAGTTCATAAGCTATTGTATGCCAAGATCCACATCCCTCTTAAAACCAGATAATTCAGTAGGTCTACAGTAACAGTAAATAGTCAGCACGCTCCCCATCTAACAGAAAAAGTAAGTAGCCATTGGTCATTTCAGTACAATAATGAATTTATAATGGAGTTTCAGGATTGCCTGTTTTATAAATAGCATTGAAACAAAGCGCACACATGCTATTCATAAGGCTCTTGGTATTATGTAGCAGCAAGAGGCCAATATTTGATGAAACCTTGTATGTTTTGTGCATTTTACTCCTTTTAAACAATGATAAAAAAATTAAGAATAGGAAAGTTGTGTGGTCTGTAGGTGCCACCACAATATAAACAATACATTTTAAACAAGATAATTCTTTAATAAACATGCCTTCTGAACTGCAACACATTTAGACCAGGCACTGCCTTTTATTCAGCTAAGCCAGGGGTGGGCAAAATGCAGCCCAGGGGCCAGATGCGGCCCACCGGGCTATTCTATCTGGCCCGCAGGGCTCTTAAAAAAATTTAGAAAATTAATATTTATCTGCCTTGGGCTGTCTGACATGCGGCCCACGATGGCTTGCCAAAGTTCGGTAAGTGGCTCCCTGCCCAAAGTAATTGCCCACCCCTCAGCTAAGTGGATGATTTTCTTTCTTAAATCCTCAATTGCCTAAACATTAATTCAGCTGTAGCTTTGTTGGGAAAAGCTTGAAAAAGGTTCTTATGTGTGAGTGTGTGTGTGTTCTTGGTGTTTCAATACTGTTTTGTGGTCCTTGTTTACTGACGGCTGCTTTTATTTGTTTTTCCTTTTTTTCCTTGATCTATTTGACTTCCCCAATATGGTGTGTGTTGCTACCAGTTTCTATTGCTCCACCCCCTCCCCCTATGCCTCAGTTGACTCCACAGATACCTCTCACAGGCTTCGTGGCCAGGGTGCAGGAAAACAGTAAGTTTGGACAAGCTGAGCTGACAAAGAGTAGAGCCTATTTTCTTCTAGCATGCATGGCTGGCGAGTCAGACTTTTGTTTCCTCTTCCAGAAGCTAATACCACCTTGCATTTCTAGTACCAATCTGCTATTGGAGCTGAAGGGCATGCTCCTTCAATTTTTTTGTAACATCTGCATGATTATTACTGACCCCATTTAAGTTTGGAACTGCAAATTTATGATTAGAAAGAAAATCTGAAATATGGCATCTTTTCAGAGCTGGGTAGAGAAATATATTTTAATTGTGGGGAGCTGGGGGAAAATATAGTGTTCAGTCTTCCTGCCTGAGGCTTTATCACTAGAGATAGTTGCTTAGTTTGGATTAGAAAAGATTATGTAGTATGTTGTCAAAATGCACGCCTGTGTACTTGCTAATTCATAATTTGTGCCAGCTTTTTAGAAAGCCACATGGCTAAGCAATAGGAAACATTTAGTTTTATAATTTATCATAAATATAGAGGACCTGGAACATTTGCCTCAATTCTTTCTTTCATTCCTATATTCTTTAGCTAGGTTCATATGGCATCTTCCAGCATACTTGTGTTGGCCGGGGATGGACAGAGGTGTGTACCCTGTCTGCCCTAGCTGGGCTGGTAGAAGCTCTGAGGGTAGACACTGTTACACTGGTAAAACTGATTTATTTATTTTTTTTAAACCAGTGCTGCTTTTTTTGCTCCTGCTCAGTAGCATTGGTATACTAACCGGAAAGGCAGTCTTGAAGAGGTATTTTATATCCGTGCCAGGAATGTTTTGCTTCTATGGAATACTGCATTCCTATGCCAGTAAAATGCTCCTAGTGTGGACATAATTGGTTATCTTAAAACACTTACTAGAATATAGCCCGTAAAGAGAAACTGATCTTGAGGTGCTAAGTGCTGGTCACTTTCCATTGTTTTTGGGACGCTTAGCATAGCTTAAAGCATTATTTCTCAGCCCATGGGTTGCAACCCAAAAGTGAGTTGCAAGAATATATGAAAGGGCTGCAAACAAACTTTAAAAATGAATCAACAAACTTATGGATTCTCCTTCAGAGGAGAAAAACATGGGAAACTGTTTTTTCTGGCAAGGGACAAGGCCCTTGTCAGAGTTCCAGCCTGTAAGGGACTGCTTTGGCCCCCCTCTGTCCCGTACACTGGATGTCGGGGGGGTGGACAGTGGGTTGGGACTGGCCATCAATGTTTACAAATGGGTCCTGA